TCAGAGGTTAATTGAGTCCAAACTAACGCTTAATTGCATTGCAATTAGCGATCAATTGAATGATTGAATTCAAAGTACAAACCATTGGTTAACACGTTTTGAATGGAAAGGAAGTGGAAATGTGTGAACGCTTTATATACCCTGCGATGCCTTCACTGCGCGTGCGCTGTATTGGCCGCACTTCACGCCCATTCAGTTATAGCGTTACGATTACCTGTTTTTCTCATTACCCTCTCATCTGTTTTACTCACAAATTATTTGAATCAATGGTTTTCAACCCTATTTTTGTTGACGTTATTTAATGAATATATGACTAGAAATGTGTACAATTGGTCGCAAACTATGTTACAAATAACGTGAACTATATTTGTTCCCTTTTGAAGCACTGAATGTTAACTGGGATTATAATGGTATGGATTTGTGATGAGTGGAAGTGCTGTCAAATACAGACATATTGTGGTCTCATATGCTGTAAATGTTAATCACTTTTTGCATTCACTGATCGACCGATAAAACAAAGTTTACTTTAATTACATATGATATGAGGCATTAGTGGTTAGTCTATACATGTATTTGTTTAGTATTCACTTCTCAATAGTCGGGTTCACAACCAATATTGGGCTATATTTAGGAATATTCCGTACTTTTGTTTAATCACTTTTAGCCATATATTGAATTACACTATATTTTGTTGTAATTGTATAACAAATAATAACTTAATTTTAAGACTTATTTGAGAGAAAACATGGAAATTATGTTTGGATTTAAGATTCTTATAAATCCGTAATATTATAATTAATTGTAACTATATTTGCATAATATCTACGAATTTGATTCATTGGTTGACAAAACTCAAGAATAATTATGATTCACTAATTATAATAAATTACTATTGGTTTGCGTTTTTAGCATTATTTCCAAATCTAATTACAGTATAATTATTAAAGAATTTTACAATAATTATAATTAAATTGCATTTAAATAAAATGTAAATTCTGAAATATAGATCTTATTGATTCAACTCAATGTAATAACATATTGAATAATGAGCATGGTCAATTTAGTAAACGATTCAGTGAATGCAATCATATATTGAACTCAATGTTAGAACTGAAGGTCGGATCGTATGAATGGAAGAATGAGTATTGACTCAATACTATTGAGTCTCACGTCTACTCAACACTCAATTCTGTCATATATTTGTGTAGAGAATAGAGTTGTAGTGAATATAGGAGTGAATTGAGTCGACGAGTGACTCATATTTCAAACTATTTTTGAAATATTAGATTCGAATCACAGTTGAAGTGATTATTGGATCCAATGTTTGACCGATGAATGTGTGAACTCTTCGTCACTTCAATCAGATCCCAATATTTGGCGAATCGATTGAATCAAATCCCTTCTAATGGACCGAAAGAGTGGTGACATCGATGTGGAGGACGTGTACGACTTGGCGGCTGAGATCGGCGACGAGTTCCAGAAGGTGATAGTGTCGGGCGGATCCGATTCGGTGAAGCACTTGATGCCGAAAGTGATCCGAGTGTTGGAACACTTGGAGATGATTACCATTCTTAAGGAGGACTTCGACTCGAAGTTGGATTCACTGAAGCACTCGGTGTTCGAGTTGGAGAGCGAACGCCGCGACAGAGCTCTTCGTCTCGACAAATACGAGCTCGAAATGGAGTCCATTGAAGACAACTGGAGGAAAGAGAACCTCCAGTTGACTCAATCCGTGTCTCAATTAAGGCATCAAAACCTGAAACTCAGTAATCGTCTCCTCGATAGCCAACAGACACTCTCCCAGTCTTTGACAGGTGTTGTCGTTGACTACGATTACTGTTGTCTTTGATTCTGAGAATGTGTTTGTCGTTTAGATCTGCAAAAGAGGGGACAAATGGAAATCGATTCCGAGATCTTAGCGTTGAAAGAGTCGATCCGAAGAAGTGAACAAAAAGTCAATTCCATTACTAAAGACATGGAATCGAAGAATATTGATATCGAAAAAGTATTGTTTGCTTCTATTTGTTGTATAATTGAATCACTGATTGATTACATCCACAGCTTTCGGATCAATTGGAAGAAGTGATGCAACAAAACCGAGATCTGAGACGAAGAATGAAACACAATAAGTATCAAATGCTGCAGTTGTCCGAAGCCAGAGCTGATCCCAACTATAAAGACCTGATGGGAATGTCTCAACACATTCTCGTGGCAAACAATGATGACTCGGATCTGTTTAACGAACAAAAGCCGTTCACTTTGAGTGAAATGAGAGAAATTCTTTTGGAGAGAAATTATCTGAAAAAGCGTTTAAACGAATTGGAAGAAGAAGTGAAACGTTTGAAACCACCGGAGATTAAGCCAAAGGATATTGAAAATGATTTACCAAACGAGAGGATAAGCTTTGAAGACCTGCCCGTCGAGGGACCCATTAATCGGGAACCGGAGGACAAACTCTACCCGAGAAAACATTCGCAAAATAGTATCCTTCGTTTGTAAGCATTATTTGAAGTTTGAATTTGTGGAGCAATTTATAAAAATTGTTTTCTATTTAGTTTTCCATCACTTCTGTGGCCCCGAATGAAACGCCCATAAGATTGACGCCACAAATGGTGTTCCCATCGACACAACGAAATGACATACTATTCTTCTCATACTATTCTTAACCAATGTTTTACAGTTAAATGTAAATACTTTTTTGATCCGTTATTCAGTGATTGCATTAGAAGTAGCGGTCGATTGTATGTTGACTGCGCTCTGATGTGGCCATCATTTTCTAACCTTTGAAGTGACCATTTATTTGGTCGATAAAAACGTTGTAAAAGTTTTTTGTAGTGAATTTAGACTAACAATCATTTTACAGTTATTAGATATTTCATAAATGATTCATAAATGAGTGACGATTTGATATTTAATGTCATTATATATTTCAAGTTTTAAACTTTATTATTTTCCATTTCACTTCTTGTGTATAAAATGTTGACATTTTTATAAATTTTTAAGTTGTTTTTAAATACATTTATTTAAATATAAATACAGTATTAATTAGTTATTTTAATTATGATTTCCAAAACACTGACTGTGATTATAATTTATTACAATTTTTGCCAAAAAACAACACAATATATAGACTAATGTTTTGAAGTTTGGATTTTGATTTGAGATTTTAAATAAAAATATTTTATTAAAACTCTTATAGACTTTTTATTAATAATAGGTTTATAATACAAATAACACTAAAATATGTATAAAAAGAGAAATGTCATACAAATGGCGATAACAATGCCTAATATAATTGAATCCTTTTTCTTCTTAATGTTGATTCTGTGGACTAAACTATTAATTAATGGAAACTTATCTGAAATAGAAAACAATCAATGAATGAATGAGTGAATGGTTTGAATAGCAATTGATTGCCGACATACTGGCCATTGTTGTCATATGTGTTTGAATCGTTTTGAAGGCATTCCTCTGGTTTATGAGATGCTCTCGCGTGCGAACGGCAACATTGATCTGTTCATCGATCATAATCTCAGAGCTGCGGATGTGTTGACTCTCTTTCAGCAAAAGGTCGTTCTTCTTGTTAGTTGTGGTCCGAAAACTATTAGTGAGACACAAATTAAGTGGTTATAAGTGACAACTCAGTCACATATGAGTGACAATGTGTGTCAAACCCGGTGTCCTTCTTGTGCGGACCCAACAGTAGTTCTCTATTGAGTTTCGCTTCGATATTAAGCCGTGTTTTGTGGAACTCATTGGTGTAGTCGTGAAGAATCTCACGATGTCTTTGGAGTGTATATATGGTTGCGCTGGCGTTCTGTACGCGTTCACAGTATTGAGACATTTGATTGTTCACATCCGTCAGAGCCGTCACCAGACCCTCGATCTCACCCTTCAATCCCTCGAAGCCATCCCTCGACTCAGATATTAGTGGAACCGTTTCGCTACTGAATCCATACAAATCACAGACACATTATCGTCACATAAACACAACAACACTCATCGACGGCCACAAATCACTTACCCGTCATCTCTGGTGATGTCTTTGGAGACATATTGACTGAAACTCAATAACTTAGAGTCCAATTCATTTTCATAGTGTCGCGCCTGACGTCTCAACTCTGGCAGTGAATCAAAACAAATGGATGGATCAGTTTGGGTGACAGTTAGGCTTGTGATGACATGAATAGACATACCTTCCCATTGATTGGTGGACTGTTTGTGGAGTGAATTGTCTGAAGTCATGTCCAAAGTGTGCATCACTTGAATGACTGACTGTTTGTTTACACCGTTTGCTGAGTTGTCATTCAATTGAAGGCAAACTCGCATTCAATGACTCAAAACACAGCAAAACGTCATTTCATGAGAGCTTACATTCAATACAGCCTTCGAGTCATTCAATGCTTTCATTATTACTCGTATTTAAACATTACTTTTAATCAAATATATTAACAATTATTACTTTAATCTGTTGTGAGTTATCGTTATTATTATTATACAACTATATATTATCTGTCATTATATCATAATTTGTAACAATATTATAATCATTGAAATTATATCTCAATTTGATATTATTTTTAGCATTGATTAGAATTTTATAAATTATAATAAATTCTTCGAAATATTTTAAATAGTTATTTTTATTTTATTTTTTAATTATTAAAAATTTTAATGTTTTATATTATAATTATAATAAATACAGAATAATCTGTTCCTTCGTTTGACTTCTAAATGGATAATATGTTTGAACACAAGAAGAATACTTCCAAAGATGACTATTACGAGACACTGGGCTGTGATTATAGCTCTTCTGTAAATATAATTGTTTAAAAATTGTTTTTCGTGTTTAAAACCAATTGATTTCTCAAAAGTTGGAACAAATCACATGCGAGTACAAGAGTCGGGCCCTTGTCTTACATCCCGACAAACAGAATAATAAAGAATCGGACGAATCGTTCAAACAATTAGTGAAAGCGAAGGAAATTTTAACGGATCCACAGAAGAGGAAACAATACGACAGATGGAGAACAAGTGGAATAGATATCACTTTTGAAGAATGGAATCGATTGGGAAAAGGAGTCCACACTTCCATGCATTGGAGGAATGATCGCCAAAAAGATCCGATGATTGGTAACGGAGTGAGTGATACAAACCATAGTGTTTGCAGCTCTGGAGTCAGGTTTCCCATCAATTGGAGCAGAGATTCAAATAATGAAACGCTCAATAAGTTTCGCAATTATCAGATTTAAGCCAATTGTTGATATTTATTTGTTGATGATACTTATTATATTGATCAGTATTTTTACCCTTATTTTACAAATTGTGTCCACAATTTACAACCAATTTTGTTAAACATATATAAAGTATATTTTATTTTCGGTTACAAATTAATATTTAAGAAAAACAAATCTATTAATCGATTGAATCGATTTAATGATAAAATTATTGTCAAATCTATCACATCATTGGTTAAGAGATAGAATGGGAGAGAAATTAGGAGTAAGAGAGGAAGGGTTTAGCCATTTAGAGGCCTAAACACAAGAATTGAGGGCAAAATAAAATTTGGTTGCATTTAATTCAATATAAATGATATCTAAACCTAAAAACCCGCAAAAATTTGTTAAATAATTATAATTGTAATTATAATAAAAGTTAGTATCCATTTGTGTCATGCAATCAATTGGCTTTCTTTTGTATGATAAGTGGTCCGACATTATCGCCGGTGTCTTTGTTGTGGTCATTGTGGGCGCCGTCACAATACGGGAACTTCTTTGAGCGCCAA